GGCTTCTTGCGGGCGGGGTCTTGAGTCACAGCCAAGGCCACAGAGCCTTGCCCTCGCTCCCAGGAGTACCTGTGGAGACACAGGTGGGCAGGGGTGAGGCAAGGCTGGGCCCTACGGATCCCAGGGAAGGAGGGAGTCCCACAGCTGGGGAAAGGCCTCCCGGCAGACTCACTCAGCCCTGGCTGGCACCAGGAGGCTTTCATCGGGGGTCAGGCTCAGGTGCTGTCCCCCCATGGTCACCACAGAGGAGCCCTCCTGGGGGAGAAGAGCAGGAGAATCAAATGGAGGCTACCCAGCCCCAACAGCTGTCCGAGAGTCCTGAGTCGGCCTTGGCAAGGAGGCCCGGGGAGCACAAGGCCCAGGAGCAGCCTGGTCCCCGAGGGCAAGAGGTTGTGCCACCCTCTCCTGCGGGCCCCACTTGCCAGCTGCCACAGCCACATGTCCACGTTCTGCTTCCAGCCTTTGCTGCTGCCTTGTCCATGGACGATCACCTGGTGGGAAGTGACACAGATCTTTTTGATGCTTCCTGGCCCCTTAAACCTGGCTCCCAGACACCAGGCCTGTGTGGGCCAGGGGCGGGGCCTGCAGTGCAGCCTCATCTCCCCCTGTGTGATGCAAAGACCAGGACTTGGAGAGAAGGCTGCCCAGGTTTCAGGCCTCCCTGCTGCCTCCATCATGATGGGAGCTGCCCACCTGCCCTTCGGGACCACACATGTCTGCCCTCCATACACACATGCGCATCGGGTCCTCTGTAGCCCGCCACAACTATTGCTGGCCCACAGGAATACCCGCAGGGGCACACACATGTGCACGGCATAGTGCAGACCCATGGAGCCCACATACACAGTTCCCCAAGGGGCGCCCACCTCCCTTACTCTGAGATTCTGGCCTAAGGAGCAGGAGGCAGGTGGGAGGGGATGAGCGAGAGGGAGGCTGAGCCTCTGTGATCTGCATCGGCCTGGAAGCCCGCAGCTAGTGTGCAGGCTGTGCTCCCGTGGGCCCACGGGGGACTCAGTAGGTATTCGTTGGTATAAACTGAAGCAGGTGGGAGCAGGGGTGACAAAGGTGGAGGCAAGGCCATGCAGCCAGCTCAGCACTGAATGATGCTGCCGTGATGGTAGCAGGGGCTTAGTGGTGTGCCTGCTCTCACAGCCCTGCTAAACTAAGGCAGGTCTGTATCCAGTGAGCGTCTCTCTGGGAGGCGGGGGTGGGTGAGTGCTCTAATTCAAACTGCAAGGATGTGCCAGTAGAAATTGTAAAGCACGAACGAGCACAAGCCTTCTGGCAGGTCTCCTTGCCTCCACACTCGCCCTCCTGATCCCGCCCCACACAGGGTGCAGTGGTCGTTCTAAAGCAGCACCCTGGCCTCATCATCCCCCGTCTTCAATGCTTGGGTGAAGCTCTGTTGTCCCCAGAATGAGTCCCTGAACCTTGCCTACCCCAGGAGACCGCCAGGACCCGAGCACTGCCTGCTACTCTGACCAGCTAGCAATCATGCCTGTGGCCCCCACTCCCCTGCCCTGGCTTTGTTTGGGTCTCTGTGTGCCTTTCCACCCAACCCTCACCTCCAAACACCTTTCTCCCTTCCAACTCCCAACGCTGTGACTGGCCAAAGGCTCAGGAATTCTGAGCAGGGGTGTAACCCCAGACCCTAGAAACCTACCACTGGATGAGGCCACACCCCACTCTGAAGGCAAAGAAAGAATTGCTTGGGACCACATAGCCTCTGCAGGCCTCTACTCATAGCAAAAACATCATTTTGGGAGTCAGGGAAGAAACAGGAAGGCCAATGCCCATGTCTACAACCTCCGAAGTGTGTGTGTGTGTGTGTGTGTGTGTGTGTGTGTGTGTGTGTTTCCCATTTCCTGGGCTTCTGGGTGGCCCAGGGCTGCATTACCTGGGTCTCATAGGTGTCCCCAAACAGGTTGAGGGATGCGCCCCCCTGCAGCTCCCTGCGGTGGCCAGCCAGCCAGGCCTCCAAGGACATGGGCTCCATGACGGATCGTGTGCTCAGGGGGAATGGCGTGTCCATGAGCAGCTGGTCTGCACCACAGCACAGCTGTGGTCAGTGTCCTCTGGCCCAGCCCTCCCAGCCCAGCGGACCCAGTTCCCAGGGGCCCCCAGCTCTCAATTGCGGGAATGGGCCCAAGGACCCAGGAGCCGTATGGGGGGGTACCATTTGGTGCCATCTTCCTGTATGTTGAATATTGGGCAGAGGACTCAAAAGGGAACTCCCTAGCACCCTGGGCCGAACCCTTCCTGCTCTGGGAAAGGGGAGAGGGAGGGGAGAGGAAGGCAGTTCCTGTGGCCTCACCAGGGATGGGTTTTCCTGTCCTGTGCTGCTCAGAGCTGAAGAACCTGCAGGGACATAGGGGAGGGGGAGAGGGTCCAGCTTTCCCAGCTGAGAGGTCGCGCGCACACACGCACACACACACACACACACACACACACACACACACTCTAGGCCATACATACATGTGGATCCCTCATACGACTCCTATCCACCACCTGCTCCCTTCCAGGCCCATGGAGCAGCCTCCTTTCCTCCCCAAGGGCGTCTCCTCCCGATGAGAGGTAAACTTTCTCCCTGAATCCGACTGCTCCAGGCTGGCAGGTGCTCCGTGGAGCACTTCTCAGAGGGGCTGCTCCCCCAGCCAGAGCACGGGGCCTCAGGAGAATGTGGGGCTGGGCTGGGCCGGGCCTCACTCCTGGATGATGGGGGCCAGCTGTGTGCCGAGGTCCTCGCAGTAGAACCACTTCTCAAACAGGACATCCGTGGTGTTTCCTACGTAGTACCTGCCAGAGCAAAGGATGGGCAACCAGTTTCCCATCTGGGCAGCCTCAGGGTCGCCTCCCTCAGGCCCAGCTCTGTGTGCTGACTTCTGGGCCTGCCTGACTCTGCTGCATTCACCCTATTAGTGCAACCCAGTGGCCACAGCTGGCTCTCCCAGCAGCAGTGTGCACCCGAAAGTGATAGGGCTGTTACCCACCCCGTTCACATAGCTCTTCCTACTTCCCCCAACTTGACAAGTTACAAAGTGGCTAGAGCTCTGAGGCTCAGAGAAGCTGGAAGTTCAGAAGGGATTACACGGCAGAAGCAGGACAGACTAGAGACAGACTTCGAAGCACAGAGAGCATCAATGACAAGTGTCTTCATGTTTCCCAAAGCAGAAGCTGAGGCAGAGCTGAACCCGGGTCCTGCCTGCTGGCACTCTAGGTCAGAGCTCATGGGACCTTAAGGAACCAACATGTGGAAGATGCCCCCCAGACCGAAATCCTTCTCCTTTTATGGATGCCTTTGAGAGCTGGAGCAAAGGGCTGGACCTCTCCCTGAAGCCCACCCAGCCCCAGCGCGGCCTGGGGAGCTGGCCCGAGGAGCACCCGGCAGACAGGGCCGTGCCTCAGGCCCCTGTGTGTACAGCAGGTCTGTTGATTGAATGCCTAATCCCCAGGCTCAGCTCCCGGGGCCGGGCCAGCCCTGCCTGCTCTTCCCCCAAAGGGCACTGGTCCTGCTTACAGACACACAGTGCACCCCCTGACCCGGCACCCTAAGTTCTATCCTGGGATGGAGTTGGCCACCACAAAGCTTCATAACGGGCCCGTGACGTCATCCAGAAATTGCCTTCAGAGTGGAATTTTAATGTGGAGTCCCTGGCCTTTATTAAAGGTCCAAGCAGCCAGATGAAATCTGTTATTGAATTTGCTGTAAAAATGTTATTGAGGAAACCGTCCTCCCCATCACTAAAGACTCCCTCGATCAATCCCCGAGGGGAAAATTTCTTTTAGAGTTTAAGGCCAGGGATCTGCTTCTACCACAGACTGTTAATATGATCAGTGTGCAGTCATTAACATGGTGTTTTTAAAAGTATAAGAAATACTCATGAGATTTTGTATAAAAGGCAAAATTCAAACGCATGCTCGCAATAAGACTTCAATGTTGGGAGGTGCAGATACACAGAGAAAAAAAGTCAAGATGGAAAGTTAAGCACTTAGTTAGGTTTAATTGGTGGGATGACAATTTTTGTGTGTCATCTCTTTATTATTGTTGCTTGTTTGTTTGTTTTGAGATATCATTCACACACCATAACATTCACCCTGTCCCTGACAGGTCATTTTAATTTTGTTGATGATTTCGTGTACTTTTCCTGATTCCCAGAATGAATGTGTATGATTTTTGGTAATTAGAAAAAAAGGGGAGCATTTTGGCTTGTGGACTGAAGGGTTTTGGGGTCGATTCTGGTCAAGGGCACGTGCCTCGGTTGCAGGCTCAGTCTCTGGCCCCGGCTGGGGCGCGTGTGGAAGGCAACAAATCGATGTGTCTCACACCATCTTTCTCTCCCTTTCCCTTCCACTCTCGCTAAAATCAATGGGGAAAAATGTCCTCAGGTGAGGATTAACAAAAACAAAAAAATGTGCATTATAGCAGATGTTAGTAACTTGTTGGGAATTTTAAATTTTCTTAGTTAAAACATACAAAATGTAGTTTAGTTTTTGTAAAAATCTGTGCCCCCTCCCAAAATCTGTGTCCCCACCCCAACAACAAAAAATCTGTGTCCCCTGAGCCACAGGCTGTGCCCTCCTTTCGGAGGATAATGACTGGGTGACTGTCAGAACCAAACTGGAACTCAGCTCTGGAAACTGCCCGTCTCTGCCCTGAGCTGGTCCCCGCTCCGGTGTTGACTCCCACCCTCTCCTGACTGTCCTGGCCCTGACTTTGTATTTATCATGCCAGCTCTGCCATCTCCCAGTAAAACCAGTCTCGTCACCTGTAAAGTACAGCTGGTAACGGCACCTGCCCCGGAGGATCATTGTGAGAACGAAGTGAATAAATACACATAAAGCGCTTAGGCGGGCGCCTGGCCCATAGCAAGAGTTACACAAATGTTAGTGCTGGTTGTGGAGTGAGTCAGGGCAGAGACACCAGCAGAGGAGTGCGCTGGCCTGGCGGGTGCCTCTGGAGACAGAGGCTGGAGAAGCAGCAGTGTTCCCAGCTGCCCTGGGCCGGGCAGGCCTGACTTTGGCAGCCACCCACCCCCACAGACGGCAGTACAGAAAGCACAGGCTCTGGTCCCAGCTGGAGGTCTGGGCTACTTGGGCAACCAGAGGGTCCCAGAGAACATCCTACCAGCTCCATCATCAAACCCACCCCAGCACCTACCCTAATCTCTCCCTACCAACCGGCAAATACAGGATCCCCACTGCCTCCTCTTTCCTGCTCGATGGCCAGGAAGAGCTGTCGTGAGCGATCCGATCCTTTCCCAGCTGCTTGCCTATCCTCCCGCCCCATGTCTGCCTCAGACCCCCATTTACCTGAGCCCATCTAGCTCGGTTTTCAGCCGCCTCCGCTCAATCACCAGCCCCACCGTGTTGGCAAACCTCTGTGGAGAGTGGGGGATCCCAGCGGGCAGGAGGAATATCTGCAGTGTCAGGGAAAGGTGTCGGTAAGGCTGCAATCCTCCACAGAGTCCTCAGTCAGTGCCTGCAGCATCCGGGGCCTCCGACTGACCCACAGGTTCTGGCCCAGCCCACAGTGAAGGGGAGGAAATGGGCTCTGCTGAGGATAGGGCAGCCCAGAGAGGAGAGGGGGTCGGGCAGGTCCAGTGGGGAGGAGGGCAGGAGGACAAAACCTTTACCAAAGCCAGAATGAGTGGACCCCATAGGCCCCTGGGCCCTGCCTCACCTCTCCCTGCCGGATGACCACATCCCGGTGTTTCCCTCGCTCCAGGACTTGGAGAACCATGTCGCCCTGCAGCTGGTAAAACACCTGTGGAACAGGACAGCAAATCACTTCTTCCAGGGTTTTGGCCTGATTTCTCACTGGGAACCCTGAGAAAGTTCCTGAAGTCCTTGGAGTTCCTGCTGCCCGGAGGCCCCAGTCTCCCCTGACACAGGCCACAGACAGTAGTGCTGGTGACACAGGGATCACATCTTGACATGCAGTGATGACCAGAGTACCCAAGATGCAACAGCTGGTATGTGGCTTGGGGCAAGAGGCTGGCTGAGATGCTCGCTGGAAAATTCAATGACCTTCAGCCAGGTAAGGAGGACCCCCTGGCTGTGCCCCAGGGGCTGTGCAAGCACTTTCCTGTACGTGATCAGAAATCTCTACAACCTCCAAAACTCTTATTAGCCCCATTGTACAGAAAAGGAAAAAGAAGACTGAGGCTCAGAGAGTAAAGCAACTCGTCCAAGATCACAGTTAGTCCTGGAGCCACAATTTGGAGCCGATTCTGCATAGACGTAGTTCTGGAGCCCGACCTGGCTCCTCCGGCCACCGTGATGCCCTGGCATGGGCAGGGCTGTGCCTGTCCAAGTCCCTCAGGAAGTTGCCTGTGTAATTGGTGGACTCAATGATGCTGGACGCTGGGGTGGGTTGAAGGTTGTGGGGGATGGCAGTACTCACCTCCTGCTAGCTCCCCGGGATGGAGCTAGAGGCCTCTTCCTGCATCTTCCCTATTCTATCCTAAGTCCCTAATTAATGTGTTTACTGAGATCACCCCATAGAGCTGGGAGGAGGAGGCAGACACATTTTTTCTCTACCAGTCACACATTGTATGGGTGTTAAAGGCCCCTGTCAAATAGTTTAGGGGTATTAATAATAAGAATGATGATGATGATGATGATGATGATGATGATGTAAGGAGTTAGAGGAGATAGAGGTCCTTGTCACAGCATCTACTAAGAGAAATCAGCCTTAGCTGGTTTGGCTCAATGGTCAGAGTTTTAGCCCGAGGCCTGAAGGGTCATAGGTTTGATTAGGTTAAGGGCTCATATCTCAGTGCAGGCTTGATCCCCAGTCCCGGGTTGGGGCGAGTGCAGGAGGCAACCAATCCATGTGTCTCTCTCACATTGATGTTTTTCTCTATCTCTTCTCCTTCCTTTTCATCTCTCTAAAATCAATGGGAAAAATATCCTCAGATGAGGATTAACAAAAAACAAAAAGAAAAAAGAAAAAAGAGAGAGAGAGTGAAATCAAGCCACACTCAGGGAAAGTAGAGAAATGAAACTAGAGAAATGTGGCTTTGCAGTCTGTCATGAGGGACAAGTTGACACACGCCTCTGAAGGACATTTGGCAACGGGCAGGAAGGGCCTCCTCAGCTCACACCCCTGTAGGGTGGCCAGCGGGGGGTCCTTAGGATGTAGGACCTTCAGTGCTGAAACCAACGATGTCCAGGATGAACCAGGACAGTGGTCGCCTCCTGAGCGAGTAATTGCATCTCTAGGCAGGTGGCTGTAGCCGGTCAGTAATGTACCTTGTTCATGTTGGGCGTACATGGCTGCGTCATCACAGCACATGGTAGTTAAAAGCATGGATTCCATCGTCACCTGGCCCTCAGCTCAGCCAGGTCACCTCGTGCCCTTGGTCCGTTCAGTTTGCCTTCCTGTGCCTCTGTTTCCTCATCTATAAAATGACAGCATCTACTCAGAATGTTGCTGCCTGGGATGCTGCACACAATGTACAAACCACGGAGTCAGCACTCACAGACCTCCAGCGATGGCGGGAACAGGAAAATAATGTGAGCAGTAGTAACAGGGGAAATGTCACTATTTTATGGTAGAGTCAAAATACGGACATTATGCAGCCATTAAAAACTATTTTTGAGCCCTGGCCAATGTGGCTCAGTTGGTTGGAGCATCCTTCCATACATCAAAAGGTGGTGGGTTCAATTCCCCGTCAGGGCATATGCCCAGGGTTGTGGGTTAGATCCCCAGTCATGGAATGTGCGGGAGGCAACCAATCTCTCTCTCTCTCTCTCTCTCTCTCTCTCTCTCCCCGAAACAAAAATCAGCAAACATTTTTAAAAACCACAAAAAACTATTTTTAAGTAACTGTTAGTAAGGTGAAAAAATAGAAAATGCTAAAGTTATCATGTTAAAGCAAGATTCAAAATTACACCCAGCAGGATCCTAGCTATGTGACCATACATGTGCAAATGCAGGCAGTGTAGGGACTGATGTAGGGATTCCCTGAGTGGTGGGATTATGAATGAGGTATACATTTCATATTTCCCCCCATGTTTTCTTACAATAAACAATATTTACTTTTATATTAAAAAAAACCATGCAAGTTATTTAAAACAAATAAGAAAAAACTTCCCAAGGTCTGTTAGGGGAAATTCTGCAACTCCCCCTCATCCCACCCCCCAGCTGGGAGTAAGCCCTTGTGTGTGTGTGTGTGTGTGTGTGTGTGTGTGTGTGTGTGTGTGTGTAGGGGGGTCCTTTCATGGTAGGGAGGAGGAAGTAAAGGCCCAGAGAGTGGCCATAGCCCTTAGGCCCTGCGAATATCAGGGGCACCTGGGGTGGGGTAAGGGTCCAGTCTGGGCCACATTCAAACCCTGTGCAGGCAGGTGAAAGGTATTAGTAGCCATCAAACCAAAACCCAGAAAGGAAGTGGAATTTTCCTCAGGCATGTCTCTCTGCCCAGAAGCTGCCTTGTGATGAGGGACAGGCCTGGCCTGGAGCAGAGGTGCAGACCCAGAACAGCAGAAAATCTCACACAGCCCCGGGCGATCCAAAAGGAATTATGCTTCATTGGAAGTAAATGATGTTTGGGGCCTGGTGCTGGCCGGAGGATTAACGATCCCTGTGGGCAGATACTGAATTGAATCAGGCCTCTGGCGCCTGGAAAGGCCTTACAGGCAGAATAGGCGGGAGAGCGGCTGAGGGTGCAGAGAACCGATGCATCCTAAGCACCGACTGTGCCGGGCTCTATGCATACACTCCACAGACACTGACTCCCTCCACCAGGCAGGGGCAGTGTCCCCAGGAGCCACAAGGAAACAGGCTCAGACAGTGATGTGATGTGGCCTGTCCAAGATCACATGGTTAGGGGGACACAGATTCCCACCCAGGATGGCTCATTCCCAGCCCAGGCCCCTTGGCACCCGGCCGGAAGAGAAGGCCTGGGGTAAGAGGAATATGAGTGGTGGGTGAGCCTGGGCCCCTGAGGGGTTGTTGCTGAGGCCTGAGCTCAGTGTGGAGGAAAGTTTGGCTCGGTGACTCCCCTTCTCTCACCAGGAAGGAGTCTGGACCCTAAGTCAAGCTGTCACAAACCCAGAGTGGGGACACCTGCTCAGGCCAGTCCTCCTCATCTGTCAGTCTCCCAGCTAAGTCAGGTCGTGGCCTGGTCCCTAAGTGGGCACCCATCCATCAGAGCAGCTCAGGGAGACCCCAAGGTGGGGTGTGGTGCAGAGGTGATAGGGGGCAAGAAGGGAGGGAGACAGAGAGGTGGGCACTGAGGCCAGGGTTAACAGAGTGGAAGCCTCTGGAAGACAAGATTGGGGGGCGAGGGGCTGAGGCGGGCAGGAGAGACCTTGGCCACCATGGCCACTCCTACCCAATCCCGTCTTCTCTCTGCAGTTTTGGATTTTCCTGCTGTTTTTTTTCTACAGAAGAAAATGGTCTCCAGTGAGGTGTGATGTGAGAAGTTGTGTCCGGGGAAGGTGCAGGACCTGGAAGTGTGAGAGGTGAGGGGCTGGCCGGCTCTGCCTACTGGATCCTCACCCCACTGCCCCCCACACATTCGGAGCTCAGCAAATATTTGCCCAGTGAGTGATTCTCCTGTGTTCCCTCCAGCCCCGAGGTGTGGCAGAGCTGCCAGCAGTGGGGGTGAAGGCTGGAGACTAAGCTGGACTCTGGATCTTGAACCCCAGGGCCAGGGCCCCAAAATGATAGGTAGGGGGCCCCATAGTGATCCTTTGCCAGCAGACATTCTGATAACTGGGGTCCATCTGTGTCTTTCCTTAAGAGGCCCCTCTTTTTCTCTTAATTTTTTACTGTTGTTTATTTACTTTGGGGAAGGCAGCACAGAAACAGTCCAAAATTCAAGGTACAAAAGGGTGCTCAGGGCAAATTGCAAATCCTCCCCCCACCTCCCCTTCCCCCTACTAGCAGCTGATGTAGGTCCTAGATTAGGAGGGGCCTCCCAGCCCAACCCTTCCCAGAGAACTTGGCTCCTGGGGCCAGAGTGGAGCACCAGGTTTTTCTCAGCACGTGGGTCTCATTTTGGAAGCTAATCTTGCATATTCGGGCTTGGAGCGAGGAGTTCAGGGCATCTCATCAGACCCTGTGTCCAGGGGGTGATGCCAACAGCTGGAGCCTCTCAGACCTGCAGAGGGTGGGCTCTTTCTGAGGATGGCGCTGTCACAGGGGTCCCTGGGTGCCCACAATTCCGAGGCAGCAGTACTGCACTGTGATTTCCTTTGAGCCCCCTTCACCCTCAGCCATCTGACCACCCCGTCTCTTGTCCATAGGCTCTGGTCCTGGCTTGGGAAATGTCCCCTTGGCCCGGGGCTGGATCTGGGGAGGGGCAGTCTGCAGACCTACCTCCTCACCCTCCTCGATGTGGTAGTCTTTCCTGATGTTGGGGCCCCCGATGAACATGACTTTGAGCTGCTCCTTATGCCTGTAGTGGAGGAGAAGGGAAAAGTGCTGAACCAGCTCCTGGGAGAGGACAGGAGGGGCCTGGAGGGAGCCTGGGCACACCTGGGCAGGGTAACAGCTGTTCTGCATCATTGTCTCTGTCAGTTTTTAAAAAAATTATTATTATTTTATTAATTTCAGAGAGGAAGGGAGAGGGAGATAGAAATATCAATGATGAGAGAGAATCACTGATGGGCTGCCCCCTGCACACCCCCCACCAGGGATCGAGCCCGCAACCGGGGCACATGCCCTTGACAGGAATCCAACCAGGGACCCTTCAGTCTGCAGGCCAACACTCTATCCACTGAACCAAACCAGCTAGGGCTGTCCCTGTCAGTTTTTGAGGTTTGTCCTCATCTACTCTCATCCCAGGGTGCCCGTGTGTGTCTGAAACTGTAAATGCGTCTTGCTGTATCTGTGGCTTGGTATATTAGTGTGTGGGGGCATGTCCCTCTGTGTGCGTCCCCCACATCCTCTGACCCAGGAGGGGGAGTGGCGTGGTGGTGGATCTATCTCTTCTTCAATCAGGATGCCTGGGCTGTACTCAAGATCTCTAAGTACAGGCGAGCAAACTGGAGGCCCTGCTTCCTGTAGGGGTAAAATGGCCCTTATCTACCTCCCCTCCCCTGAGTTGTCTGATTATGAGACTATCTCTTCCCCCAAAACTGCTGGGCTAAAGCTGTGGGGCACCTGCTGTAAGACGTGGAGGGGAAACTGGTACAGGGCCCTGCGACCAGGTCCTGGTACCCTGAGAGTGGTCTTGAGGAGCGATGGAGTGAAGACTGGATCAGGATGGGGGACCAAGTCACTCTAGGGCTCAGCCAAAGAGTTTGCCAGAGAGCCCAGGAAATTTTTTTCTTTTTTAGTCATCTTTTCTGAGATATAATCTAGGACAGCAATTTTCAATCTTTTTCATCTCATGGCACAAATAAATTAATTACTGAAATTCTGTGGCACACCAAAGCATATATGTTTTTTTGCTGATCTGACAAAAAATAGGTATACTTTTGATTCATTCACACTGGATGGCTGTTGATGTTTGTCTTTTTTCTATTTGACAATCTAAGGGAAAAGAGGTCAGTGCCCCTGACCAAATAGTCAGGTACTGCATGTTTTAACAATTCTTGTGGCGCACCGGTTGAAAATCGCTGATCTAGGTACATATGGAAAGTTCTTGAATGAGCCCACTCGAGAACTATTCTAACCCATCAGTCAGAATGCAGAAGCCAAGATCATGTCCTTCCTCTGATCAAAACCTTCCAGAAGCTTCATATGTCCTGCCTCCCACCACCCCAAATTCATAGGCTAGAGCAGTGGTTGGCAAACTGTGGCTCGCGAGCCGCAGTTTGCCAACCACTGGGCTAGAGTCCTAAGCCTCATCACCTCAGAAGGTACCCCAAGTGGGAAATAGGGTCATTGCAGGTGGAGTTAGTTAAGCTATGAGGAGGTCGTCCTGGGATCAGGTGGACACCTAATCCTCTCTGCCGGAGTCCTTACAGAAAGGGAGATTTAGACACAGACACACAGGGGGGCGCCACGTGAAGGTGAGGGCAGAGAAGGGGCTGACGCTGCAGAAGCCAAGAGTCCAAAGATCACCACTAACCCACCAGGAAGCAGCCAGAAGAGGCCCAGAGCAGTCTCCTCACAGCCCTCCCCAACACGGGGTACAGCCACAGCCCTACCCTGCCCTGTGGCCCCAGGTCTGCCTGGGCCTCCACCCGCTTTGGTTTCTATTTAGTGGCGGCCTCCTCAGTTCCCGGAGGAAAGGACTCTTGTCCGTTGGTTTCCTGCTGTGTCTCTAGTGTCTGGGACAGTGCCTGGCAGGTAGCAGGTGCTCAGTGAACAGAACAGCTGCTGAGTGACTCCAGGCAGGGCCTGCGTTTTGTGATCACTAATGTTGGGGCAGTGCTGGAGGGCTGGGTGCGAGAGGGGTGCCTGGAGACGGGGCAGCCCACACCCTACAGGCTGGAGGTGACAAGAGGGGGGCTGGAGAGGAGCAGGTGGATCTGAGACACCACTCGGGGAGAAACTGCGGGACTGAGAATGAGACTGTGGTCAGGGATGAAGTGGGGGAAGAGTGGGGGCCATGAGGCTTTGGGGGGATGCTGCACAGTGACCACGAGTGTGCACTTTGGAGTCAAACTCTTCCATGGGCGTGAGGCAGGACCCTGTCCCACACTAGCTCCGTGACATTGGGAAAGTTCCCCACTAAAATCCCACCTTCTGGGGCTACTGTGACCGTGAAACGAGATGATGTTAAAGCACTCGGCACAGTCTCTGGCCTGTCACAGTATTGGTGTTTGTAAGTGTGTGCTTTGAGGTGTCGGAGATGTTCTGTGGACACAACAAGGATGGGGTTGAGAGCCTGGAGCTGGGAGCCCCGGGAGGGGAAAGGGCTGCAGGGGAGGGCCTGAGAGGTTTGCTGGAGCAGGACTGGCTGGACCGATGGCACCCTTGGGTGGTACGGGCAGAGGTGGCTAGGGAGTGTCTGGGAGAGTGTGTGTGTGTGTATGCGTGCGCGTGTATGCGTGTGTGTGCATGTGTTTGTGTGTAAGCATGTGTGTGCGTGCGCCCACGCCTGCCAGCAAAGAGGGGAATGGGAAGAGCAATAAATCACAATCCTCCCAGAGGGCTGATCCTCCACCCTCTGCCTGTGGCTTCCTGATAGAGTTGGTGTAAGACTGGGCTGTCCCCAGGCCTGGCTTCTGCTGCCATTCTGGGGTCCATCTTCTGAGAGTCACTGCGGGTTGGAGAGCTGTCTCGGGCCTGGAGGGGAAGGGCTGCCCCCTGCCCTCCGCATCTCTCCTGGCCTCAGCGCGCCCCGCCATCCTCAGAGGGCAGGGTCACAATCTCTGTTTCTGAGTCGCCAGAAAGAGGAACAGACAAAGGTGGTGGAACCCGGAACAGCCCGCCCTCCCCCTGCCCTGAAGACACCGTGAGGATGGCAGCCCCTGTCCCCAGGCTCTGGATCAAGAACTGGGAGCTGGGGGTGAGGGGTGAGGGGTGAGGGTGCGGATGGAGAAGGAGGGGGTGAGGACAGAGAGCGGGAGAAGGGCTGCCTGGCACTCACAGGAGCTTGTTGCAGACGGGGGGCAGGAAGGAGGCCCGGTTCTCCTCCACCCAAGTCCGCACTCGCACCGGCCGCTCCATGCCTCCCGGGAGGAGCGCTGCTCCCTGCGGTGTCCTGCGGCCGTCGGAGGGGCGCGGTTCCGCCCAGCCGCCTATTGGCCGCCTGGTTAATCAGCATCCCGTGGGGCAAAGGGCGGGGCAACCCCCACGGCACCGAGTGGCAGTGGTGGGGACCCCCGCGGTGGCCCCTGTCCACCTCTGGTCAAAGAGCCCTCGCACCACCACGTCCCAGGTTCCTGCCAGACACCGCTGGCCCGCCGCCCGCACGTCCGGGGTCGCCCGGCACACTGCGCGGGTTGGGAGCTGAGACAGGCGAAAGGCACAGATCCCAGCACCATCCTGGTCCTTTGTCCCCAGACTTTCCGCCTGGGCCCCAAAGAAATGCTGTGATGGGGCGCAGGCGGCTGGCAGACCCAGGGGCTGAGTGCACGGGTGCTGGCACGGATGGAAGCCTCAGTTTCTCGTCTGAAAAACGGGAACGTCTACCCAGCCTTCCAAGGGTCACAGAGCGGCCAGCACGGCCCCATTCATGCTACCCTCTGTCCGGTCACGAGCGCGGAGTCAGGCCAGAGTCCACGGGTTTACAGGGCGCCGCTGGCGGCCCTCCTCGGGCTGGGTGAGGGGCCCCCGGCGCACCACGGGGACGCCTGGGCCCCATCTGAGGGCACGGCCCCCTCACCCACATTGGTCAGAGGAGGCAGGCAGGGACAAGGTGCCTGTTCTGAGCTCCTCCCACGTCTTAGGGCCATAGGACCCACGGCGGTTGAATGAGGAGTTTTCCAGGTGAAGAACCGGGCTCGCGGTCCCGGCTGGGAGGGGACTGTCCTGTGCTGAGGTTGAGAGACGCCCTAACGCAGTTCCCCTGGGGCCCAGGAGACACCTGGCACCAGGTGAGCCCGGGGGAGGGGAGAAGGATACCTGACACCTGCTCGCTCCTCTT